AGGACTTTTCCATCATTCTTCGCTAAATATCTGCAAGGAGGGTAAGTTGGCAAGTTTTGAATGGTCAAGTTCATTAGCACATTGGAAAGCATTTTTGACAGACTGAAAAACTGTTTGGTGTTGGTTTCGTGGCCTCTATTAACTAACTCCTTTTCGCTGTAAGGAGACGGAGAAAATATTTTGCGTGCAAAAACATTTATGGAAGAAGATTTTCCAACCAATGGGTACAAACAGCGTGGAGAAAATAGAAATAATTTATTCAAAAAGGTGCATTCCTACACTCAAAATACGTTGAACAACAACGAGGTCTTGGGACGTGGGTCAAGAGGTAACGTCGCGGATTCGCCCGCGAAATTAGGTCAGTCCGTACGGTGTATCCGAGTGGCGTCATTGTTGCATTAAGTACGCCATGCCTGGACGAATCTCCTGCTCCTTTCGAGGAGAACCTTACATGAGCCCCATTATTGGCCAAAGTGAGGTGCCCAAATTATTTTGACTCGCTATATCCGTGGATAACGTTACGAATGGCTTTNCAGAAGAGGTTCACATGGCTGTTAAGGTGTCCCTTTTATTTTCGATTGGGACCAATTCTGATACTAGATAATAGCTTTTTCAGTGTTATTGCAATGTACATCTCGTTGGTAATCGTAATAGGCCGCGTCATCCGCGGTTTCTTCACACATAACCCAACGGACGTGATGATAACGGAAATACCTAACCCTGACTTCTTGCTAAAGATCTGTCTCGACATCTATCTCGTCAGAGAGGCCAAGGACTTCTACCTGGAACAGGTAAGGAGCTGCTATTTTTTCCTAACTCCATTCCAACATTATATTATGATGTAGTAGGAGTTGATCTTCTTAAATGCAGAGCAGTTATTAATAAGATCAAGAGAGGCTCGTTAAATATATGCATAGCGGGAAAACACAAATAGTAGTAATCGTTGTGCGGATTTTTTGTCCAGAATGGACTCATTCAGTCCATGCAAGGCTATGATTCGTCCCCTTTAACGCCTGAGTAAATTTTCAACATCAGTAATCCCGACCACCCAACCATGCGAAGAAATACCGTTAAAAGGTTTTGGGATGCAAAAAGGGGCACTACGGTCCCGGGTTATCGCTGAGTCGGAAGACTTGAAGGCTAGTATGCCTCTCCTCAAGGCTACGTCTTCAAGTTGGCATGATCGAGGTTTGGATGTACGACAGCCCCTATATCGTTTTACCTAACCTTCTTTTTCGATGGCTACAACGCACTGGTGAGTCTGTGGGTCAGCAGAAGAACCTGGTTCGTCTGAAAATGAAGCGACGGAACGGAATAGTTTCTCCCTTCCATACCCTGCTCTCTGCGGTTATATCAGTGCCGTATTGAACAACGCCAGTGCGCCCCATAAGAGAAGTACCATCTGAGACCATCGGCAGCCAGATTAATCACCCTATTTTGTGGATTTTGAAGCATCATCTCGATGCTCACCGTGACCACTCTTTACTTACAAATTCATTTTTAACTCGAACTCAAAATTACCCTTCTCTATACGAGTTCTCTTGTAGGACCTATTTGCCAAACTGATCTTCCTGTTCCGGTCACCTGCGACCCTGATACAATGGACCAGGATGAAAATCAAACGAGAATGATGTCAAATATACCTGTAAACAATGAGCATTATGATTATCTCAGAAACGTATTGCTAAATAATACCCTGGGTAAGATCAATTACCCATATCATTGTTTTGTCATCCGTTATTGTAGATTAATTTCTCAAATGGCATGTTACTTTGTTCCGACTTTTGTTCTTCTTTCACCCACCTAGGTTACTCTCTGTGCACCCCTATATTTCTTTTTTTTTNTTTTTTTTTCTTTGTTTTTGCGATGAGCCGATCGATGTTTGTTATGCTTGCCTTCACTCTTTCTCCGATATCTGTTTTATTGATCGTTTTAATTTCTGATATTTCATACGTGGTCTGATGTCATTTCTTTTTTTTTATGTCATATAATAACCCTACAAGCTCTTTCTTTCTGGGGTATGGAAAGACAATTTGTTGCCATTCCCTAACACGACCAATCGTTGCGATATCCATTACCGACGTCGCTCAATTTGAGTTATTCCAGCATGATCCATTCCAGAACGAGTAAGACGCCTGCACAGATGCGTGCGGTCGCGTGCGCGACGTCCGATAATGCATCGGTGGAAGCAAGAACGCGCCGCATCCGCTCGCACCTTATCAGACTCTTTTCGAACGTAGCTCTGGAGAATGATATCGGAAATGGGATCTCGTAACGATGTGCTGTTTTAGTGTATAGTACTGTTTTACACATGGTAATAATTTAAACCGATTACTTTATTTTTGACATCCATTATCGAGTTACTGTCTATCGGGCCATTTTTATTGTTGCATGACCGACTAATCGACTGAGCCAGTTGAGATACAAGCGAATTTGTTGTATAAATCGTTAAATATTGATGGATTTACAACATTGTAGTTGAGGAACATCCTCGTCGATCTGTTTATTCTTGGTAATAACAACAAACAATTGCTAAATGTACATTGTATTTACTCAGTTATGTGGCCAAATGCAACCTAGTGCGACCTGAAAGGTGTGCCCATGATATTGAAGATTACGCGTGCGTGTCCGCATTGCGGCAAATGATATACCATAAATCTTTTAGGGGAGAGGGATAAATAATGTTGTCTTGGAAAGGTAAATCGATAGTAAAAGGCTTAGAATGTGACTGCCAATTGTGAGCGGGGCCATGGGAGTATATTTTTGCTCATTCTCTTCCCTATTGGAGTCTGACCTATATGTATTTGGTGATTTCCTGATCAATTCGGAGTGGCGCTTGACATGATTTAGTCACTCTCAGAAGGCACTCAGTACAGGTTCCCGAATCCTCGTGCTACTTACCAGAAGGGATGGGAATCGAGTGACAGCCCTAGTCGTCATTGAAAACCTTACAACTAAAGACATTTTGTAGGAGAAATCCAGGAGTTATGTCACAGCTATGTACATCACCTCGGAAGTAGTATTAAGGAACTGTCACAGGAGATTGACGTGCATTCTTGAACGGAGACCTCTGCAGGGATTAGAGTCCTGCAATCGACGATTCCCCACGCTATTGATTACCTGTCAAAGTAAATTACCAAGTATTACGTTCCCTTCCTATTTAATTTACCTACTCGAGGTGGGGTAAGTGGGTAGTTCTCACTATGTCATAGTGAGAATTACTTATTAAGTATTACGTCGTCACTTTTTTCTCTAGAATGGGAACCAGTCAACAATATCATAATAATGTAATCCAATAAACATACAGATAGTCACTAAAATCAGCGCAATCGATAGAAGACTGACAGAAACCATCGTGCGTCTCTGAAAATGAAATTATTCGAGGCTCTTCTGAAAGCAACGGAACTCCATTCTAAGATTTTTGAAAGCATAAAAGGATATGTGTTTCGCCAATTCCTATTGAACTTTTGTCGATGCGCCATGCATTTGACTTGGAATCTTGGTAATATTTGAACGCAAACTTGATCAAGGACTAAATGGATATGTGAGGTTGCGTACTTTATGGAGGTTTGATGGATTTTGGAACTCCTCACTTCTTCCCTTTCCTCACACAGGTATTTCTGGTTGATGGCAGTAACCGGGACACTGATGGGATAAAAACTTTGCCAACCCTGGATAGGAATTTTTAGATGAAGGTTCAGCTAAATACTTTGGGCTACGGTCCAGCCATGTCGACAAAAAAGGAATTGTTTGATTTTCTGAGTTCCTAGGCGCTTTCACGGAATTCTTAGGTAAATTTGATTTTCACGGAACTTACTGCTGCGAACACTTGGGCAAACATTAATTCATTCTTTCTTCTAATATAATTACCCTAATATTCGTCAGAGGTATGACGGCGACTCAGTGGAATGCCAATAGTAATAATGTGTGAAAACCAAGTAGTCGAATGGTTTCAGAAACATGCCCGTTTCTACGAGAGCTTAAAACTAAACGGGTCAGTTTGGTATTTCATTCAACCCTGATTACGGTATAAGTAATCATCAAATCATAAAATGTTATAAGCGGCAAAATAATTTTTTTTTAACGTTTTCGCAGTCCTTCATTAATAGTGAGGAGCTTTTTTGACTTCACAAAAGTCAACCATTCCAAAGAGATGCAATGCCCTTATAATTCTAGGACGAATCAATGCGTGGCTCATATAGGCAAAATTTACAATGGACGAAAGAATGATACAACAGGCGTGGACCAGTTTTAAAAGGATCAGCTACTGCTTAATGGTGTCCTATTTAGAGGGGTAAACTCTTTGGCATGGCTTACATCGACAAAGCTCCTTTCGACTTCGACAAGGCTCCTTTCCCAAGGCAAAAGTCTATAGTTTTGAAGTAGTGGTGCAAAACAACCACCTTCGGGTATTGAGAATTTTGGCAGGTACGGTAGAAGAGCTTGCACTTTGAATCAGAAGCGTCTGTCACCTACCTCCTTTTCAATTACTATTCCCTTAGCTTCGATTTGTAATATTACTAATTTCTATGCTCTTTAGTCATATACCATTACTTATGTGCGATAGCCGACGTACAACTCTTTTTTACCTCTGTCTGCGAAAATGGAAAACAGGAAAGTTTCCAGAGGGCGGTACACGGGATTGATTTCTGTTGTCTGGGCCCTGTTTTATCTCCTGTAGACAAATTTGCTACCAAAAGACTTTCGTAAGCTTGAGAAGGCTTCTTCACTAGTCCACACCGTATGTAATATAGCGAAATTATTTAGTTATCATCACCAACACATCTCTCCCTCGCCCAAAATATTCAAAAAAGGTATGATGCTGCCTTTCACTGCATTATCACGGTCGCCACTGTACGCTTCAAAAGGGTAAAGTAGTTGCAGGGAAAAAAGGGAGCCCGGCTATAGTGAATTTTCAAAAAAATAGGGCAAAAATATTGAACTTACAGAGCATTTCAATTGATGCCTTGGTTGACTCGAACTTGGTGGGCTGAAAAAAAGCACAACTATACGCTACTACAACATTAAGTTGATCTGAGATAAATTCTTACCATGGCGATATGGGATTGCCTGGTTCTGCTCTAAATACCTTCTCACTTAGAAAATTAATGGCGTAGATTTTCCTCGCGAGTAACCTTTTCATTTAGACACAGCTGCAGTATGTCTTATCAGGAATATCAATTTTAACGGAAAGTTGATTGGGAAGTCAAAATCGGAACATCCACTTGGTCACCTGGAATAACCAGGTAAGACATTGACGCTCTGGTAAAAGAAACATAATTCAAGTAACTTTATTGTTTGAAATAAAAAAGTACTAATAGGCCTCATGACTGCTTTTTTTGAAATAGGTTTATAAAATTGACGGGACACCTCATAAGGTAACTGCAGCTACTCTTTAAGGGAAAGGAAGACCGAATACCAACAATTTTGGAACTAAGACAACGACAGCTCTGTTTTTAAGCGGGTTCCGGAGAGCATATGCCTATCGAAACTTCTCCGATCTGGTCCATTCCCGTCCTCACTATTACCATCAAAGGTGCACTACTCGATAATTATGAGGCATCTATTTTAAATGAAATAATGGAAGCAACAGTGCAGAATAGTGCAAGGATGGCAAAGAAAGCACGAAAACTGTTGGATTCTATAAAAAAGAAGACTTCAAAAAAGTATTAAGAAAGTAAGAAGTGTGTGAATTAACCGTCTAAGTGTCTCTCGTTTGAGCGTACTATTCATCTCGTCATCTGAGTAGTGTAAGGCCGGCATAACACGGCCACTTTTTGTCTGCATCAGCTAAACCCACTTTGAAGCCCTTATTAGGCCCTTTTTAGGCCATCTTTCGACCCTGCATCGGTCCATATACTATTCTTGGGGCCACGGATTCATTCTGAAGGAAAATAGCAAAAACCTTTTTTTACTGTGAACTGTGCCTTTGTAGTTTTTGGCGGACTTGATTAGAAGTGGCACAGGCTCAGGCTCGTACACCGATTGGGCCTCCAAGTGGTAGAAATTTAGAATGGCTGTACTTGTTGCAGTAGCGGTCTCAATCTTTCCAAAACAGACGGTCTGTCGATATAACTTCCACCCAAATGCTTCGATTTCATTGAAACGTGGCTTCAGATAGCATCATAGGAGGGGGATCCGCTCTATGTACATGAGATGTACATTTTTTATAAAAATTTTTCGTTTTTCTTCTGATTGACCGTCGAGAAACGAATCATTAATCCTTCTAAGTATTATCTGAGCTCATGATGTATTTTAAAATAAAAATGTACATTTCGCACTAGTACAAAAATCAGTGCCTGTGAATTTCCTAACGCTTCGATGTTGTATACTTCAAATAAAATAAAAGAAACAACTGGAAAGAGAGTGCAATTAGTAAGGACTGCTCCCACAGAAGTCCTTTCTCAGAGTTACTTAGGTAGCTAACTTGGCTTTATTAGATTTCCCATATCTTGAAAAAAAAACTTATCCGCCTGGCAACCACCATTCTCGATAACCTCAATTAAGGGTAATTCTGTTAAACAGTCCAGTCACTTGAGGGTGTCGTTTGCTTTTTGTTCAGGCTATTCCAGAATTGATTGGCAAAATGTCTGAGTCTAAGTTTCTGGGTTCAAATTACCCCATATTTTTTGCCCATACTCAGGGCTGAAGTACTAGTTTCAAGACCGTAGTAATGCCAAAGCTGATACATAGCCGAATATGTTCCAGCTCATTCGTAGCCATTCAGACGTGTGACCAGCCTTGTGCGAAGCACTAGCCGAGCATTTTTTTTTTGAATTTCTAAAAACATCCCGAACAGTGTTGTATCCATCTCTTCGAGAGTTGGCTCGGTTGGATCTATGCCTGCGGCGTGGAAGGGTTAATGTATTCAAATAAATCGTTCAACATGTGAAAAACGGTAAGTGCTTTCCTATTTCAAAAGAATTCCCGTGAGAAACCAGTCAACCAGTGGCGAATAAGGTGCGTTCGGGTTTTACGACGTTCTCTTTGTGCTCGTTAAACATTATTGCAATTTTGCGAAGTCGTCGAGCAGCGGCTCCCATTTGTTAGGCGGTTAGTGGAAGTTTGAAAAGCTCTTTTCAAGATGTGTTCACTGTGAAAGTGAAGTCTGATCACCCTAAAAAATTTTTAAAATCTCTTCATATCACATTTTTCATCTCTTTCTCGCCGATCTACATTCAATTGTCTCTTCATCACTATGCAGCAAAATGCATGGCGCACTCTGATCCACACCATCACGAAACTCTTCCATGCGTTTCATTCTTTGTCCTTAAATCACTCGGAAGTGCCTTCTTAAAGCTCCCTTTTTGCATCGGAATGGAAAACAATAGCATCGACGTGATGAGCTATTAAATTTCTCCGATAAGGCAATAACGCGGCTCAATCGACTGAATTCCTATTACGAAGCGGTCCTATTGGCCTCCCTACTAAACGTCATTTCCATTTTCCCTCTTGGATCAACCTTTTTCTACTGATTAAATACGTCACCATCTGTGACGGAGGACGCAAATGAACATACAGGCCATCATCTGCTCGTTTATTACGGCATTCGGGACCGTAATGATTTGTGTGACTACAAAAACGTGAGCATTCAGCCTTTTAAGCCCGCTACGTGAGCACAAAAATGTTTTGTATTTGTCCTTTGATTCTCACATCTACCTTCTATCATGAATTATTTTATCTTTTTCATTTTTCATCTGTTCGGGCTATAAAATTCACTTTTATTTCTTTCAGACTTTCATGTGCTGCCTATGTTTTGCTATTTCCTTACTTAGAGTCATTTTCACTTTGCATCCTCTTCACTTTTTAAATCACGTTCTTTAGTCTATGGAGATGACACAGTGTCAAGCGGCGCGCTATAACACACGTAGGGTCCTAGGATCGGATCCCAAATCGCTATCTACCCAGGCCAATCAAGCCTTCACTCCTTTAGGATCAGATAGTTAATACCGAACTCATTTGGGGAACAGAAACACTGAGTTGTACGTCGGCTGGCCACAGTAAGCCATTGTATTAGCCAAACACACATTCAAAGAGCTGCTACGACTCTGAATTTATGTCGGATGTTTGGCCCATCCCAAAACGACAGTCATTGACGCCAAAAACTGCGTGCATTACTTTCATTCGACCTGTTGTGGATTATTTAGCGTTCAATCTTGTCATTTACATCATTCTACCACGCAGTAGGCACTGCAGAGCTGATTTCTTAATTATTCTTTTTTCATTTTTCGAGTATTATGGTAATATTTCATTCTTCCAAAATTCATTTTGACACCTTACATTAGTCCTTTTATGCTGAAATTTTCAGCATTGATGATGATGGTGAATTCAAAGGTCAAACAAGAACGATCATCCTTTCCATAGGAATAGCCTTAACGGCTATTGGAGGGCTTGGCTACATTTTTACCATTTATGAAGTCGTGAGTCATTCCGTCTTACACCTTTTAAAGCGTTTGAATCCATCGTTCAACCAACGGAATCCATTAATACTTCAGTAAATTTGAACAGACTCGGGCGTTCTTTATTTCTCTTTCCAGGAGTTGCCGCGTGCAGCCGCGTTGCGGCGCCGTGTCAAGTTCATCTCCGAAGGGCTCTAATTTAACCTTGTAGAATAACCGCACTTTATACCGCAAGACAGAACGATTCATTGTACTGCTAACAATGAGTTATAGCTTTTGAAGCATGATATGTAAACTGTCTTGCATGGTGAGCCGTAGCGGCCACTTGAGTCGCAATCGAGAATGCTCAACCCCTTCATGCTTCTCACGGAAGCACCTTCTTCAAACTCCCTTCAGTTCCTGGTGAAATGAGGCAATCTCATGTATGTCTGCACATTCGTGTCCCACTATTATTGCCGTGACGTGACCATACAAAACACCTCCAGAATTGCTCATTCAGTTAGGATCTTTATATGAAAGCAGAGAACGTTTGCTTCTTAATTATTTCCATATTTTTTTAGCTCAAACGAAGCCATGAAAAGCTCATAAAAGGATACAAACGAAAACTCGAGGAACAAGTGGATCGGAAAAGAAAAGAGACCATAGCTAAGGTTGGTTTACGAAAAAAGAGTAAAAATTATTAGGAACGTTATTGTCAGACGGGTCAAAAAGTGAGGATGAGTTGCTTTTAAATAAAAATATTCGAATAGTATTCTGCACTCTCCTTCTTATTTTTTTCCCTGCTCAGAGAACTCAGAGATCTTCATGAGTAAGCATTTATGATACCTTCGTGCATCGAGGTCACGGGCCAGAATTCATATGGAGTTTTCGGTTCACTTTTTGGACACACCAGGTGAACTGTAGTCCATAAAGGGTTGCTAAAAGTTTTTCACCGGTTAGAAAGCTGTGCATATTCATTCAATTCCCATTTTTATGTTCAGTGGGTAGATTGAGCTCTGTATGCTATCGATGTTTGCTTTTCGTCATTCTATTTAATCAGAAATTCCTGTTACCCATCCATTCACGTGCAGCTAATCGTAAAGGACAAAAGCCCCGGGGCTTCAATCGATGCCACCTGAAGGGTGCGCCTACGCATTCCACTTTCATTCAGAATCATAGCGACGTTTTGAATACGTATGTGGCCTATACAATGGCTTATTCGGTTGGCTAGGCGGATATCGGGCCGGGATTTGAACCATGACCATGCCCGTGTGAACTGCGACGTTTGCCACTACACAATCTTTGCCCTTTCAGTATATGTTCAGGAAAGAATGGGAGTAATACAAGCAGAAAAAGGAAAAGAATGACTGCTACCATTGTTGGAAGGTGAAACCCAAAAAATAAGAGAAATTTTTTATATGGATTACTATGAATGTGAAACAAAATTCTAGTTATTTCATCAGGATCCAAGAAGGGATGAAGGCAAGAGGAAGGAGGATGGTATTGGTAGAGGTGGGGAAGCCGGTATTACATAGCTTCACGAGGATATGAAATTAATCACCACCATTGCTTTTTTTTTAACTGGAGGCTATTCAGGAAGCACGCAAGCAGACGATTCGGATAGCAGATGGGATGTCCTCAGTCGAGCATTCGAAGGATGAACGACATGTGGAATACATATGACGCTCAAATGAAATCCCAAAAGCTTCAAATATGATTTCACCACAGGAGCACAACACGAATATAATTCACGATTTTATTTTTGTTAGTCACACATTGTAAAAAACCTATTACAGTCGACCGTTACGTATTGATTTCCTTCTAAGTCATCATTGTGGAAATCGATTTCAAATGAAGCAAGGGGATACTGGTGGAAGGGATCTATGAGGAACCCATGTCTCGCTTCCAAAATGAATCTTAGTATGGCTATTGGATAGCTACTCGAAATATGGGAGTATAGTTAAGAGTTCTAATGTAGTTATGCCATTCTTAGGCTAAGAGGCGATGTCCCATGTAATAATCGATTGAGCCAACAAGGTTTAGTCAAACAAGTTCAAACCCCAT